TCAGTACATGAAGCATTTTCCTTAAGCCATCTTAGGGTATTCCATTCTCCCTACCCGACAGAGATTTTTCTGGTGCTGAAGTTGGTCGTGAAAAGCTAGGAGGGAATATACCGAGCTTCTGCTACAGGTTGCAGTGGAGGAGGAATTTAACAACATTTAAGGAAAGATATATAGAATATTAAGGTTGTTCTAGAATGTTAGTTGCTGGAATTCAGTAAATGAGTGTTGAAAATACGGTTTGCTACATTTAATTGGAAGAAATCAGCTGTTGTTAGCTGAAATCTGTATAGAACAGTTGTTTGTTGAAATCAATAGGATTAAAAAAAGGGAGAATTATATATATATATATATATATATAAACACAAATAAACACATAAACACTAAAACAAATAACTAGAAAACAATAAAGTACAACTAATTGTATACTCCCCCTTTTGACATCACCAAAAAAAGAGAGAAAACACAAAGAAAGAACTCCAAAGTCCAACCAGATAAATAACCTAGAAATAAGATCCCTGATCAGGTGGTGGTGGTTGGCAATATTAGTGAATATTATCAAATTGCTCGTCGAACCATGCCATGTTGGTCTCATATTATTGTTGTTGCTGCTGAATATAGCTATCCAGTCGGAACTCCAATCGATCAAAACGTTTTATCAACTCCTCTTAGGAACAAGGCTGGAATGCTGGTGTAGGTGCTGGCAGTAGTGCCAGTACGGGCTTCGGTGTAGGTGCTGCTACAGGACGAGCTCCCCTTCCTCATTAAAATTAGGTTCTTCTTCTAGCTCGTGTTCTCGGTGATGACTAAAAAAAACATGGAAGGAACTATCGGTACAGTAGATTAAAAAATAATTAGCAGTAGCAAGATAGATAAGTTCATATTTTTTATCCAGGATATAGGCAATGATATGACCAAGAGAAATATTTTGCTTCCTTCTAGTGGAAGGAAGGTGAATGGGAGTAACATTATGAATGTAATCGATGATCATTTGAGCTTAATCAAATTTTTTTCAAACATTATAAAGTATATAGTTAAGGATAGAAGTGAGGTAATATTTATGTGATCTCCAGCTTTAGGAATGATTGAGGTTCTAAGAACATGCTGGATAAGAAGGGCATTTTGATTCAAAGAGTGGACTAGGGTTGATGTTGATCTAGGGCAATATTTCTGATGGTTAAATTGACAACACTCCAATCAAAGTCACCCCTAGAATACATTGAATGAGGTTGAGGTCCTTTTATGGATAGGTTGAGATATTCACCTAAATCTTTCTTGGTTATTCCTATGGGTCGCCTACAGATATAGAATCTCATGATGTGAACAACGGAACTAATCCTTAGACATGTGAAAAATTCACAAAGAAGTTCAGAATTAAAAGGAAAAAGCGAGGGCAAGCAAGAATTTCAGAGTGGTGGATGTGAAAAGATTTAGCACTTCATAGTTTAGGGCTTGTTGGTTCAGTAGTTTAGATGAGGTTATGCGCGAATCTGGATCCTGATTTTGTGACTTTGATGATAATAAAAAATATGATTTTGTCTATCATGTTTTCTCCAATTATGATTATTGGATATTTATTTTCGCGCACTAACATTTCAGGTCCACCGTAAACCGTGTAAAGTGATCAACTCAAAACTTGGTTGAATAGGTTTATATTTTCTTAAGATTTTGTATTTTTCATTTACTTGATTTTTTTATAATTCTTGAGTTAAGGTGGATGCTAAACTTGATTATTGTGCACACACACATGGGAGAGAAAATAATTTTTACTTTTTAGAACTAATCGCACTGTACGATTAGATGCTTTTGAAACATCATAAAACAAATAATTTTTTTATTATTTTTTTTTAATTAATTGTACTATACGATTTGTTCAAAACAGAAACCTTAGCTGCTAATCAAAATTAAGTAAGTTTTTTAAATTTCAATTTTTGAACTAATCATACTGTAAGATCCCATTCGTACAATATGGTATTTGAAATTTTATTTAAATTAATCTACGTGATTAGCCAATAAATCAAGGTTTAATAAATATGATAAATCGTACTGGACGATCTATATAGACAAAATCCGATCTCCCTGATATCTTATTGGACGAAACCTATATTTTTGAACTAATCGTATTGTACGATGTTAATTGTACTAGACGATTTACCGAGATGATATCTAATCTCCCAGTGATTGTCCTGAACAACCATAAGAAAATTGAACTAATCATACCGTACGATCTTCAAATCATACTTACGATTAGTACACAGAAATTGAATATTTGTCCCATGCTTATTCCTTTGTACTAAACGAACTCATTTTTTTTAATAAATCGTACTGTACGATCCATGATCTTATTGTACGAACAATTACAGACAAATTAAAAAATTAGGATTTTTTGAAGCATTGTTTAAATACATTGTTAAAAGACTCTTTGAAAGTTTTGGGCTATTGTATATTCTGGAGAAAGAGCTTTGATAAAGATCTTGAAGAGCTTTGGGAAGGAGAAAGGGGAGGTTGTGTGTGAGTGAGAATGAGTGTGAGAGGATTCCACATGGTTGATTCGGGCAAGCTTCTACCTTGTTTCCTCCAAGTGTCTTATTTGGTTTCTTGGGTGGCTCTGGGAAGAACTTCAAGGCCAAAGATCGTTGAGGTTCTCTACCTTCACCCGGAGGGTGAAAAAGGAGTGCTTCCTTCACCAGGAGCGTGAAAAACAAGTCGAGGTTCTCTGTCTTCACTATGAGGGTGACTCTGCCGCATCGGGTTGGTGAAAAAATTGTAAGGGTTTCTTCGCCTAATTGTAGGGGCTAAATGAGAGACTATAGTTTTTAGTGCAATACTCGGAGAGGAGCATTCTGATGAGTGGACGTCGGTCAAGGTTGACTGAACCACTATAAAATTCTGGTATGCTCGTTCTACTTTTCTTCTACGCACTTTTATTTTCGAATTTTAATTTTCTGTGAATTTATTTTTTAAAAAAAATTCATGTTAAGAATGTTGTGGTTGGTAGTAGATTGATTTGATTGAATTAACATCATCATTGTGATTGTTATTACGTTTATTAGCTTCCGCATTGGGTGATTTAATTTCTCTAAGAATATCAAAAAGATCTTTTTTTTTATTAAAGAAAATTATTTTTTATTAAAGAAAATTTTTAAAACCCTAATTGAGATTTAACACCCTCCATTGAACTTTTAACATTGCTTCTATGTATTCACTCTTCTTCTAAGTTATTTTTCCTTTTTGCAAGAGAATAGAAACAATTTTTAGGTCAGAAGGATCCTCAAATCTCTATATATTGGCAGAAAGCAAGTGACTATAAAGAAGAAGAAGAAGAAGAGTGGTAGTAGAAGAACCTCAAAATGACTCTCTGGGCAAACATTTAGAAACATTAATAATTTTGATGTATGGGGAAAAATAATTAAATCCATCTAATCAATTGTAATCAGTATGCCCACTTACCAAAGGCTAAATCAAGTTATGCAATTTTTTTCTTTTTTTCTTTTCTGATGTCTTCAAAAAACAAAAGAATTGGTGAAGTAATGTGCACTTAATGTCCCTTTGGTTAATTCAATCAAATTATATTCCTAGCATGACTGGATTCAATTATACACCAGCACTAGAATCAATTTGTAGAAATCTTATCTAGAGAAGCATATTCATTAAGTCGCCAATCTTTAACTCAAATGTAGTCCATCCTGTAGAGTTGAATCTCTAACAAAACCTATAAATAGGGAATTAGAGGATGAGTCTAAGACATTCTAATTGACACATATCACATTAGTCTAGTAGTCTCCAATAGAAATCTAATATGATCCTCAAAGTTTCTCTTTTTAGCTTTCTCATACTTCTTTCTCTTAATTTTCTCTTAGGCTTGATCTATGCTTGTTAGTTAAGTCCTGATGTCACCTATGGACAAACATAGAACCAACATTTATGTTGTGCATCTCATTTTGCTTACACTATTCTTACCATGCATTGTCTTGTGTTCATGTTTCCTTTCCTCTTGAGTCATTGCCCCTCCATCCCTAGTTCAAAGAATTGTGAGGGGTAGAGAGATCAAAGATGAGGTGGCAACAAACAAAAGTCGAAGATGGTTGGTTAGATGAACTTGGAAAGATGAAAGCTCCTAAGGTTTTCCACTCCTATTCCTCCATTATTATTATTACTATTATTATTATTTGTTAATCGCCACTCCAACTTGCATCTTGAGCAATTGCTTCTTTTTCAATGTGCCCTTGCCTTTTTTATTTCTTAGATTTTACAATCTTTTCTAGAAGAAATCCAGTGTGAATGATTCAAATTTGACTCAACTTGTTGATCTGTTTTCTACATGGATGCCGAATACTCCAATTATTTTCAGCCACGTTTTTGGAAATAGCGGTATACTCGTTGTATTGTTACAGTGTTGGAACATGATGCGTTTAAAGTTTCTGCTTATGAATAAGACTAAAAATGGAAAAGAAAATAAAGTTACGAACACATCAATTATAAGGAATTAATTTAAGTAGTGAAATCCTTATATAATACTGAACAAAATGATTTCAATCTAAGATTACGCTGGCATATGCTAATATAATAACACAACTAAATAGACAGCATCTCACAGGGAGCACCGAGCCACCATCTTAATACCACAGGCTTCCCAATAACACTGAACCAAAAAAACAATTTAAAATCAGAAGCATGATATCAAACAGAGCATAAACTAGTATGCCAATATCTGCAAATAAAAAAAAATTAAAGCCCTCCAATCCATCATGGAACTAACAAAAAAAAAAAAAAAAACATACAGAGGGGCGGCAATTTAAAATTACTTGAAACAATAAATTGGCGTCTTAATTGAATGGGGGATTTCAAGAAAATTAAACTCGCAAATTGCCAAAAAGCTGCAATTACATTATGGCACTAATAATCAGCTAAACAGAAATCAAATGGAAGAAAGAACCCACAAATAACTGAAATTCACAACAAAGATGACAACTTTATTGAAGGATTCGCCCCAAAAGACATACCGCAAGCTTGGAATCCACAGTCACGGACTTCTGTTTCGAGGTCGAGATCTCCGTTTTCTTCCCGCTGGATTGCAATTTTACCCGAGTCGCAGTCGCAGCCGCCGACATCTCCCCGACGCGTAAGCGATCTGACGTTTTTCTCGACCTTATCTCGATCTAACTCAGGCGTTTCTTTCCGGAAAATAGATTTAACGGTTCTGGAAATAAAATCTGAACGCACAATCCAGAGCTTAAAGCCTTTCCCTTTTTCTTTTTAACGATCCCTGTCATAAGAAAACTGATAAGCGTCAACGAATGGTACCTATGGTATGTGCTAATCCAATAATTTTCTTTTGTGACATATAGATTTTACTAATAAGAACATCCTAAATAAAAATAATAACAATAAAAGGGAAAAAAATTTACGTGCTTAGCCCACCATCCTTTTAAAAACGGCGACGGACTCCTTCGCACGGGCCCTTTCAGCATAATTCAGCGAGCAGCGTTAACACCACCACAATAATATCGAACACCTTTAAATGTCGCCCTTTTTTTTTTTTTTTGCAAAATTTGGGATTGACCCGTATATTAAAATGCTAAAATGAGAAACAATTACATGTAAAATGTAAAAAAAAAATAAAATAAAATGCTATAAAGGCAAGCTCCTAAAACAAACGAGCAAGCGTACAAAGCATCAAAATTTATCAAAAGAATGACCTATAACAGCCAAAAAAATCAAGAGATGCACTCCAGCTCCTGAGGACATAGCAAAGCAGCAGCAGACCATAACCCAGTGAGAAGAACGAGCTCCTTGGCCGAAACAGCCTGAACTCAAAAAATAAGTTATCATTCGAGAAAGTCAGCAATCCCTGATTGCCACTAAGGCCGTCCAAGGGAGCAGCAGCAAGGAGCTTCATCATTGTCCATACCGGCTACAAAAACTGCTGCAAATGCAAAATTTGGCAACCAATCTTGAGCGACATCCACCAAAATTGAGTACCCCACTAAATTATAACCTTTCCAGCAAACCAAAAGAGTTCTTCCATTTAAGCACTTTCTCAAACATTACTTTTTTAATAGACAAGGATAGAGTAGCAGAACTGTGCATATTCCCTCCAAACCTCCTAAAGTTCCTCTCCTTCCATATGAAGTAAGTAATACAGCAAACCATAAATTTGTAAAAAATTTTCAAAGCAGAATTTCCTTTGTATTTCGTATTCACCCAAACAAACATGTGTAGCAGAGATGGTCTTAGAAGGAGTTCTTTGGTGTCCGGCAAAATAACATTAAGCACCGTGAAGCAATATGAGCATTCAAAGAATAGATGAGTGACAGATTCATCAAAAATATGACATAACGAACATCTACTAGGAACATTTATATGTTTAATACGAAGGGCATCGATAGTCTTAAGGCCCCCACCAAAGCCAGCCAAACAAACACATTGTGCTTTAAACAGCTACCTTTATGCCACACATATTTGTACCAGTTGCAAGCTGATAAACCACTATAAAACTCCTCAACATAATCTTTGAATTTGGAGGCAGTTTTATCTTTCCACAAAAGGGAAGGCTCATTAGATTCATGAGACATAACAAATAAATCCCTCAACTGCACAGGTAGGAAATCTAGTAAATTCCAGCTAGAATTATAGAAAAAAGTGCCCAGTTTCCTATCAGGAACAGAAATAGCAGCTCCCATATAATCCTTTAAGGTCATGTTATTACACCATTGATCCCAGATAAGAGAAATGGGGGCATTAGCATTAATCTTTAAATGAAAACAAGCCTTAGCTTCAGTAGCAGTCCTACACACTGATTTCCAGAACTTAGAAGCTGTAGAAGGAGGTGGACGCCAAGGAGATGTGTATTTGCTAGACAGCCAAATGGAGAGGGGGGAAGAGCTGTTATACATCCTTAGTATAACAGAACAATTATAAGCGTATTGGATTGCATTGACAGAGGGTACCCCCAGCCCACCCTTGTACTTGGGACGACAAATAGTATCCCAGGAAATCATATGCAATTTCCTGGATTGAGAAGAATCCCCAAAGAAAAGAAATTTAGAGCTGACCTTGTTAAAATGCTTACACACCTTTTTAGGCAAAATCGAACCACGGATTTAGTATTCAATGGTGTTTTGAATGGTGAACTTTAAATACTGAAGGCACCCAGCAAATGACAACAAGTTTGCCTTCCACCCATTCATCTTGTAGTTAATGCAATCCATAAAAGGAAGAAAATCTTCTACCTTAAGCCTATTGAAAGACAAAGGGATCCCAAGGTAAATGATTTTAGAGGTAATGTTATTAATGGATAAGATCTGGAAAATGGCTTGTTGATTGAGTTGGTGCTTAGGGAACATAATGGCGCTTTTATCAAATTTGATATGGAGACCTGTAGAGTTACCAAAATCTCTAAGAATATTAGCCAAATTTTGACAGATATTTAAAGAGGCCTCACCAAACACAAGCACATCATCAGCGTATAAAAGATGGGTCAGATTGAAATTTTCTGCACTGATACCAATAAAACCCCTCTACTTTAATAAGTTAGAGAAAGCATCCATAACTAGACAGAAAAGATAAGGGCTGAGAGGGCAACCCTGCCTTAACCCGGCAGTAGAAGGAAAAAAACCCTCCAAAGCACCATTAAGCACAATGGAAATTTGAACATCAGAAATACACATTTTAATCCAGTTAAAAAAAGTGTTGGAGAAGCCTTTTTGAGTTAATCTAGCTAAAACGAACTCCCTAGAAATGGAGTCAAAAGCCTTTCTGATATCTAACTTAGCACAGAACAATTTAGCACCACCCCTTCTACTTGCTGTGGCAAGAATGTCACTTGCAAGCAATATGTTGTATGTAGAAATCCTAGCTTTTAAAAAATCAGACTGGTTATATTCAATGATACTAGGCATAACAGGCTTGAGCCTACACTCAATCACTTTGACAATAATCTTATAGACAACATTACATAAAGCTATAGGCCTGTAGCTGAAATATACATCGCATTCTTGTGTTTGGGTATGATAGCAAGAGCCGTGTGCTTAATCCCATTAGGCATGTAACCTTTAGAAAAAAGGATTTGATTACTCTGCACACAATCGGGCCAACCATATGCCAACAAGATTTGAAGAAATGGAAATTGTATCCATCTGGCCCAGGTTTTGAGGAGGAAGAACCTAGAAAAACAGCAGCTTTTATCTCAAAATCATTGACAAAAGAGCAAATCTCATTAGCAACAGAATTAGTTAAGACAGAGCCCTTAGGAAAAATATCAATATTAAAGCTAGTGTGCTGAGGAGGATTGTAAAGGCTCTGGAAGTGCTGAATAATGGAGGAGACAACTTCTGCTCTAGAAGAAGGAGAAGAAGAAGAAGCGAGGAGGTTGACCACCGATTTGGTACTACCTCTCCTACTTCTAATTTTGCCATATAAGAATTTAAGATCATCTTCCCCATGTTTCAACCAATTCACCTTTGCTCTTTGAATGATCCAGGAGGCGTGCATAGTAGAAAAATCTGCTATCTTGGCATTAATATCTTTTAACATAAGATTGAAATTATTGTTAGTCGGATCAACATGAAGGCAATCTAGAACATCCTTTTGGCTGACGAGTAAAGAGTCCATATGACGACTAACAGCATTATAAGAAGACCAAGACTCTCTTTTGATGCATGCTTTTAAAGGCCTAAGAATATTGCTAAGATGAGACAGAGGATTACCATCAACCGGTTCAGAGAAAGCTCTCACAAGAATATGCCAAAAGCCATCAATATTCATCCAGAAATTTTTAAAGAGAAATCTGTGCCGAAACTGAGCAATCATACCAGAATGCAGAATAATCGGACAATGATCAGATCAAGAGGGAGATTGTATAGAATAGTAAGATTCAGGAAACTCTTTCAACCAACTGTCATTCACCAGCACTCTATCCAGCTTAATATGAATGGGATTGTGTGAGCGTTGATTAAACCAAGTGTAATTACTTCCTACTGAATGCAGGTCTATGAGACTTTGAGATAAAATCATGTGATTGAAATAAAATAGTGCAAATTTGAGATAGAGGAGAGCCTCCCAGTTTTTCAGAGGCAAAACTGTTGAGTCCAGTAATTAGGTTGTTAAGCCTAAGTAAATGTCCCAAGGCTACCAAGAGGGGGGTGAATTGGTAGTTTTTATAATTTTAAACCCTCTTAATAATAAAGTTGAACCGAAATAGCAACTATTCAAACAAAAACGACAGCAGTTAAAGTCTCCCAACAGGGCCCAAGGTGACTCAGAATCAGGGGCAATAACACAAATAATATCCCACAGCTCATTACGATCATTAGCACTATTAGAAGCATAGATGATAGAAAGTTGGAAGAGTTCTTTGGAAGCCACAGAAATCATCCCAAAAATAATTTGGGAGGAGATGTGAGTAGGGTTGAAGTTCAGTTTGTTATCATCCCATTTTATCCAGATTCTGCCCGAGTGTGAGGAGGCAAAGTTGTGACAACTTTTCTCATAGGGGAAAACAAAATGGGAAATTTTAAAGAAGGGGTCTTGGAGAGCTTGAGCATGAATCCTATTCTCCAAAATACAAATCATATCCAGTTTAAAGGACTAAGAGAGATGCTTGCAGCAAAGGACTTTATCTGGACGATTAAAACCACGAAAATTCCATACAGCAATAGAAGGAATAGACATTAAGAACTTGTTGAATGGGATTTTTTCCCTGCTTCCCTTTTGCAGGTTTTTTGACTAGCACCGAATTGTTCTGTTTCGATTTATACTTTTGTTTCTGTTTGTTGCTTTTCACCTCTTGCTCTACCATTTCACCCCATGTATCACCCAGGGTAATGTGATCATCCTCATCATTTAACACATCAAATCTATTAGGAGAAGTCACCAACTTCTCTTTCTGCTTCCCCAAACTTTGGATTTGCAAGGAACAGGAAGATGTCGAAGCAACCTCTTCCTCATTAGGTGAATTAAGGTTTGGTATAGTAGTCCCTATCAGAGCCTGAATAGGGAGTTCAGTAACCAGGTTATCTACCACGAGATTACCAGAGTTGATGTTTTCTTGGGCAGTGGAGAGAGCTGGGGAATGGGGTTGGTAATGAAGGGGTTTCCCAATGCTATTGATAGGCACATTGGAAGTAGTAGACGGTGGTAACTTAGGCTGTTCTGAGACAAGAGGGACTTTTTGAGTTAAGTCTCCTTTGGGAGGTCTAGAAAAATTTTTAGATGTCGAGGGATATCTGTTATTTCCCCTTCTGCTAAAGCTCCTACCACGATTCTTTTGCATTTCTTTACCTTGCACCTCATCCCCAGTAATCTCTGGTTTTAACGGGCAAAGAGAAGAAAAATGCATAAGAGACTTACAGTGATCACACGGGAATGGTCTCCATTCGTATTGCACCTTCAAACAGACAACATCCCCATCCAGAGACACTTTTATTTCCTCCGGGTAAGTAGCATTGCAATCCACTAGAACACAGACACGGGCAAAGGTAAGTCGGGTCTTTTGCTCTGTCAAGTTATCAGCCGCCAAA